TGACTACTGCAATTGACTACTGTATGTAAGAGTTATTGGAACTGGTGCGCTGGATAGCGCTAACGCCGAGACCCTAGATCGGCGTTGCTAGTCCCGCCTCACCGGCACAGGCTCCCTACTAGTACATTGTCTGTCTTTCTCCTTTGTTGTCTCGATCATTATTTTCTTTTGTCTTCTTCTTCTCCTCTCTTTGTTATGGTCTATCAGTAGGAGGTGCATTCTGTAAAAAGTAAAATAAAAAATATAACTCTGTGGAACAAACAATAGGAGGACAGAGGAAGTGTTTTTACTCAGAGTTTTCATAGGCCATTCACACGACGTGTAAATATTTGCACATGTGTGACCAAGATAACACTGGCAAACCGTGATCCAGTTCACACGGTGCTGCATCAGCGCTGGGCAAACTTTGCAACCGTCAATGTATCCATAGTGACCTCCTGAAAATGCCGGGAAATGTTCAATTTTGAATTTTCCCTTGTTCAAGCACTGCATTTGCAGTACGCACTTTCAACAACCGACACTTTTCCTGGCGTGCAAAGATAATCGCGAGCAAAAGGGCCTCGGCCAAGATAAAAAAATCAGTTGCACGCGTGTGTCCAAGTTTATCGTATCCGAGTAAATATCCTTGGAAACAGTACGATAAAAGTAAGTTTGCCCGTCGTGTGAATGGCCTATAAGCGATCATCAGAAAACAGTAACTCTGTGGAACCATGTCGCCGTCACGACGTCTCGTTTGTCAAGCTGGTGACTCGAGCTACAATAGGGCTTGAAAGTGATGACGTCAAAAACGGCCAGGGAGTAGTAAGTTGACATCAGATTTCTATTTTGGATTCACTGAGGTGTGACTTTGCTATTGCCTCAGTATGTGGGTGCATAGCAAACCAATCATGTCGTATGCAGGGGTGACTTTTACTTCACCACCAGTTGTAACCCCGCCCCCAGTAGTAGGGTCCAGCGGATAATGCGCCGAAAATGTTCGTATAATGCTAACCATAATGCTCCAAAAACTGCCTTATAATGCTGATTATAATGCTTCAGCAAGGGATATAATGCTCTTGGTTTGGGAGAAAAATGGAAGAAAGTTTGCACATTGTCAAATTACCAGGAAATTATGCATATCGTCGATCTGCATCTGAAGTTGCCACCTTATCTCTCACGAGCTCCACCACTTCTTGGCACTATAAGACATGATCGCTTCTCCATTGATTGCTCTCCATTCCAACTTTGATGCAGGGTTGTGGCAGAATAGTCGGTGTATCAAATCTTTCCCCGAAGTATCCATGTAGTGAGAGATGAAACCATTACTGCAGGTAGTCATTCATTGTTGGGATGAAGTTTATCTTGGCAAATAGTATTCCTGCCTGCAGACAAGTTGTCACTGCATCCACTCTGTGAATAATGTCTTCATCTGAAACACCAGACGTGAGGCCAGCTCCTGAGATCCGATCTCAGATGGAGAGCCCTCCCATTGCGGAAATCCCGAAAACACGTGGTCAGAAGTTATTTTGCCACTCTACATCCTTTGCTTGTGCTCTCATTTTGTCCTTGAGATGGTGTGTAGACGTATGGCTTGCCACAATACTCTTCCTTTCTGATAGCATTTGACTGTAGGCCTGGCATTACAACCGTCCACAACTAACTGTACGTGCTTCATCAGGAAAGACAGGCGTTCCTGCGCAATCGACTCTTGCTTGGTACTGCGTCCATGAGACATTCTAGTTCTTTTCGAGCCTGCTGAGCTGGACTCGGCAAAGGCAGTTCTTTTGGAACGAGCTCTTTCTGTTTATAGCCGCTCCTTCATCCTGGTCCAAATTTAGCAATGCATCAGTGTCTACTTCAGTATCGCTAGAGATGCTATCGCCGGAGCCTCTGGCAAAACTTGAAAACTCTTCTTCGTCTGTTTGATATTCACTTCGCGTATGTCTCCTCCATAGCTCTCCATTGTTCTAAAAGTAAAAGAAACCTCGTAAATATTTCTCCGGATTTGTGTCACTTGAACTGCCTCGGCCTCGGTTGGGCATGCTTCACAAAATTAATGGCTTGTAAAGTTGTATACATTTACTTGACCACATCGCTACAATCATAACGTTTTTATGTAACAATAGTTATGTAGCGTTAGTTCTAAAGGTGTTACGTGTCTACACAATCACAAAGTCATGCGCCGGTACAATGCATAGTGCTCAAACGCCCGGAATGGGCGGAGCGTAGTTCGCAAGAGGTACTCAAAAGGAGTAAAAATAGGGCTGTTTCGTTGTTACTCAGAGTTTCATGGCAAAAAGCAATCATCAGACAACATTTCATCTTTTTTTTTTTTTTTTTTTTTTATCCCACCTTCCAACCCGGCAAATATTTTGATTTTGATAAAAACGATGCAAAGCCTCTCAATTATTTAGTAATACTTGATGTATATATAAGAATAATAACAATAGTTACACTTTCACACCAAACTAGCTCGGTGCAGCACCAATCACTGCAGGGGAACCCGACCCTCCACCATCGCCAACTCACGAAGCATGTGAACTGGACGGTGACGGGCCGACCGAGCACCCCTGACACACAACACAGTGGAACGTAGCAGCGCGAAAGACACCCGACAACGATAATAACCCATCAACGACGAATAGCTACCTCCCGAAGATTGAGATGTAAGGAGGCAAAGGCGCCCGAGGAAGGCCGTGGATGCCGGCGCAGCAGCCCCATTCACAGAAAACACAAGAGGTGCAAAGGCACCACGCTCAACATTGACCACTCTCGCCTGATATTGCAATCTCTTAGCGCCCTCATGTTGCCGGAAGAGCGCGTCCAGGCTTCTGGACGCGTAGGAAGAAGCGTCAGGATTAAACCCCCTTACATCAAGACAACATCTCATGATCATGATTGTAGCCGATTGTTGCCAAAAACCTGGGATTACCCGATATTATCCACTATGAAACTCGTTATGCCGCTCAAACCTCACATAATGCTCGTTTTGTTCCTTTCTAATGCTCCATAATGCTCTGATGCTCGGATAGTCGTATAATGCCGGCATTATCCGCTGGACCCTACCCAGTAGCCAAATCAGTCAGTTTCACTGGCTACATCACCACCTTCCTGTGAGTAAGACGGCTTGAAATGTGCTTGGATCCATACAAAAACTGGATCCAAGTGGAGCCAGTTTTTGAATTTTTGAAATTGTTGCTATGCTGTGACGTAGCACTTTCAAGCCCTATAGCCTATAGTATTGTTACAATCGTGCAGTTTATGATCTACTAATTCCAGACCAGGCAGGCACAGTGGGTTGGTCAACGACCATGATTGAGATACGAGAGGTACCTGGTTCAAGTCCTGCCTGGAAGCGGTTTTTCCAGCCGTGCTGCTACCCACAGTCAACTGGGAACTTGTGGCCAGGCACAAGGGGTACATGGATGCAGCTAATGGGGTCGTTCTCTGCACTTGTGCCAGTGGTTGTGAGACTTACCCACTCACCCGTCAGCGCCATAGTGACCAAAACTGCGAGGAAGATTGGCGCCTTGTGGCGAGCCCGTCGATGCCTCTCCCGCAGCTCGCGCAAGATATATGTAAAGGCTATTGTCATGCCGGAGTATAATAATGGTGCCTGCTGCTTCTCTGCAGCCCTCCGCGTGACCCAACTTCAGCGTCTGCAAGCCATGCAAAACCGGGCGATCCGATGCATTGATGGCAGCCCGCCATGTTCCGCGATGCAGCCCCTCCTGGCTGCCAACTCGATTTACCGCGTCACTGAACTTTCTAAAACAAAAGCTCCTGATCTTCATCTGGCGGTGTCTAAATGACTCCACTAGCCTTGCTCTAGCCCAGCTTCTCAAACCAGCAGCATGCAGCGGCAGAAGTACGCGCCATCAGCATGCCAATGGTCTGCTCAGCCAGCCAGCTCGCAGTCGGTGTGGCCAAACGAGATTCGCCACCGCAGGAGCATTGCTGTGGAACAGTTTGCCTAGAGAGGTGCGCACCGTATCCAGATTGCAAGAGTTTAAGCTAGCCTGCCTTCCTTATGTATGCCTGGAATAGATTGTGTTTCGTCAGGTTTTGACATGTTCCTTTTCTTCTCAGTATTCTCGCTCGCATAGTACTCCACTTCTATGATAATATTGCCTATGCTGTTGCTCATTAGGATTTTGGCAAATTCTATCCTTCGCTTTCATATAACTGGGCCAGGAACCCGTTTGAACTTGCGAAGTAAAATAAAATCAATCAATCAATCAATCACCCCCACCGTTAGGCGCTGCATCTGCCGCTAAGGTTTACCGGGTGTTAGCGGCCGTCGTGGGTTCCCTTCGGGAACGGACACGATAATTTACTTTTTTTTTAAATTCCAGACCACGACGCGAACTTGCAGGGCACTTTCACGCGTACGGCGCAACTTTTTTTTCTCGCTAGTTAGAAACTGCCTTGGGCTGCGCCTAGCCAGGACGGGTGGAAACAATACAACAGTCATGCGAGCACCAGCCATACCGAGGGTATCGTTAGTGCCGCTACTGCCATAGGCTATGAGTACAGCAGATAATCCCCTTACTTTACAGCATGCTGTCGCTGCGTGGATTGAAAAAGCCGAACGAAGTGTTAAAATAGTCATCGTGCACTATCCATGGGTGTTAAATTATTAAATTCTGGTTTGATTAGAGGTTTGTTGCTGCGTACCGGGCTCTCTAAAACTAAGCAAGGTGTTAGATGGATGTCGCAGTGACACCTGCATCACCCACGGGCTTGCCTATGTTGGCGTGTGTGTGTGTGTGTGTGTGTGTGTGCGCGCGTGTGTGTGTGTGCGTGTGTGTGTGCGCGTGTGTGTGTGTGTGCGTGTAAGTGTCCGCAGCTCGGGAACACCCTCCAAACTGGCGGCGTACTGCTCACCACCAACCCAGACCCCTTGGCGCGGCTCAAACCTCACAGCCAGCTAGAGCCGCGTCCGATACGCACAAGGAACAGGCAGTAGTGTGAATTTACCGAGCTTTATAATGCCAAAGAGAAAACAGTTAGACGCATTAATCCCCGCTTGCTCGGTGGATGCCATTTTTTTTGCTGGAAGTTCAAAAGCGTGGACAGCTACTGCCATACTAGTGGCAATCTCTCTCCGGTCAAGGAGGTCAGGCGGAGCTTAGAGAACTAACGATTACTTTCGGCACAGACGATGACAGCCGGAATGGCCGTAGTGCGAGCATCTTGCGCCACACTTCTGCTGTGCACGCTCGCGTCACTGGAAGTCCGCGTGAGTGCAGGTGCCAGTGCCAGTACCAGTGCCACCGCCCAGAACTTGCAGAAGACAACTAACAACAAGGCTGGTACGCATCATGTGGTGTCCAAGCGCGAAAGTGCATCCGTTCCCAACGGCGACGATCCCTATGGAGACTCGACGTATTTCGATCTGGAAATCAACCAGGCCTTCCCGGGCATGCTGAAAGCCGCCCAGCGTACCACTGGCGTCCAAGAAGATCCCTACAGAGACTCCGCGTACTTGGACCGTGCAATCAATCGAGCGTTCCCGGTTGCCAGATCGACCAGTGAGCGCCATCCGGTACACGTCAAGGCCGCAAAGAACAGCAACACAGCTTCCCGTCGCCATGGTCACCAGTCAGTGGATGTAGCTGTTGCAGCGGACCACGGGCCCAACCATGAACAACATCAAGGCTCGTACATGGAAACGGCCGTTACACTTGGTGACTTGACAGCCAGGAAAGACGGCAAAAAGACGTCCGTACGACGTCATCACAACGAGAAGGCCAGTGCACGTCCGGCACACCTCCGTCCAACCCAGCACGCACGGGAGCCGAACCAAGCCAGGAAGACTCTGGCCGGACATGCACTGACGCAGGACAGCCACCTCAAGGCGGGACATCGATCACGTACCAGCAGCAACACCATCAAGAAGCAACAGAGGAAGTCCGCAGCGCTTCGCCTCAACGCCAATCACAAGCGTGGGAAACCTGCCAGCAAGAAGAAGGTGGAAAAGAGTGAATCCTATAGCCGGGTAGGTGGCAAACAGGAGCACATAGGATCGGTTGACGTCATGGATACCATCAGCAGCGCATTCAATCTGTACGGGAGCGGCGGAAGCGGGTTTTCCCCTGGTGACGCAACTGAACGTCATGCCGACAAAAGTGTGACGAAGGCTGTTGGAGACAACGGTGAACATAGCCCTGGACACAAGGTCAGCAAATCGGCTACCGAGTTGCCTACCTACAGTAGTCGCCATGGGGACGATGATCCCGAGACGGTTGAAGCTGGAGAGGGTGCGAGTGGCAGTGGGGACGGCTCAAGCAGCGGAGATTCGTACAGCGCAAGCGAAAGCGCCACCGTCGACTTCCAGATGGGCAGTGGTAGCGGCGGCTTTGGGCTTCCGCCCCTGGGTGGATCGGGCGAGGGATCCGGCCTGCAGCCGGAGGAATCCGGCTCCGGTCACCAGCATAGCGGAGACGGCTCATCTTCGGGTGACGGGCACAGCGGAGGTGGAGAGGACAAGCAGCCCGATCAGGGTGGTTCAGGAGAGCATCACGAGGGCGGTGGATCCCAGCCAGAGGAAGGCGGACACGGCCGTGATGAGCAGCCAGCAGCCGACGGCTTGAGCGAAGAAGAAACGAAAGTGTTGCTCGAGTCGCACAACCGAGTGCGTGCCAACGTTAGCCCAGCGCCGTGCGACCCGCTTCCAGAGCTGCACTATGACAGCGATCGGCTGGGTAAGATGGCGCAGAGCTATGCGGAGCAATGCCAGTTCCATCACAATCCCGAGTTGAAGCTCTACAACAACCCCGAGTTGAAGAGTTACAACGACCCCACCAGTAGCCCTGGAAGCACATCGCACACGGTCGGAGAAAACATGTACATGACAACACTGATCGGTGATCACCCGGACGAGGCGGTGGTCTCGTGGGCGGACGAGGCAGCTTTCTACGACGCGTCAACCGGCGCGTGCATCGCTGAACTGCAATGCCGCCACTACACTCAGATCGTCTGGTCTGCCACACGCTTTGTGGGATGTGGCACGGCGGTCTGCGCTGCGAGCACCACCGAAGACTACCCGTTCGACGCGGACCGATTCCCAGAGGCGCGTCTCGTCGTCTGCAACTATTCACCATCAGGCAACGTCCGAGGTAAGATCCCATACGAGGTATGCGACGAACAAAACAGCACAGATTATGATGCGCAACCAGCTCATAAACCCGCGCCCAACGCTGCAGTGGCTCTTGTTGCCAATGAGGATGATGTGGCCCACCAGCCTAGCAATGTCGAGGCCGCAGTGGAGCACCGTAGCAACAATGACGTCATCAGCCATCTTGAACAAGAACTGTTCGACATTGAACACAGCCTGGAAAAACTTCTGACCACGGACAGATCGCGGAGTGACATACCAGCAAGTCACGCTGGGCGTCATCCATCAAAGCATCATGCAGACCATCATCAACAACAGCATCGTGCAGGGCCTCATCCAGCACCGCGCCAAGCTGGGCAACACACGCCACAGCATCGCGCAGGGCATCATCCATCACAACATCTTGCAGGGCATCATGCACCACAGCATCGCGCAGCGCATCATGCACAACCACAGCATGCTGCAAAGACGCAAGCTAGGAGTGCGGACACCAGCACAGGACACCACAAGAAACCTTCTTCTCCACACGACGGCCAGCAGATGATCATGAGGAAGCGCCGTGCCTTGCTCCGCAAGAAGCCCGCTCAATAGCTCCATGGAGAATCTGTCCAGCGCATTCCAATCCTGATGCTGGTATTCAGACACTGTCCGCGCTGCCTGTCGAGCATTGTTGATCATCCTGGTCTGTAGGCATGGAGATTAGCGCATTGCTGTTATACCACTCATTCACCCTCATTGTCATCACCCCGCATGGTATTCCCCCGTATGGTATTCAGATATGCTAACAGCAGTCTGTTCAACCTTGCCACCATTCCAAAGCAGGACACCCGCAGTATAATGTACACAAAGGCAATACGGTCTCCCACGTAAATGTATACAACTGTTTCGGTCCAAAGCAGGACGGTTGGACAGTCTGTAACAGCTACATGTATAATCATCGTGTATGCTCACCATCCTTAGTAACTGTTCTATCAAGCCCCTGCATGATTAGCTCTCAGTGTTAGGTTTCTGCATGACCTGGGCCCATGGTACCATACTACCAAGAGTACATAACATTATGTACTCTTGATACTACTTCGAAGTACATGTACAATCATGTACATGTACATCATAACAACTGCTTAACCATTGCAAAATTGTAGTCATCAATAATTACACACACAACAGAGGCGAAAGGCGGTGTAGCTATACCTTTTTTAAAGTATTATTAATTTCGCTCATTTCAGCGATCATCAGACAGCAGCATTCACAAAATATTAATTTTGTTGCGTTAGTCCACAGTGCATGCAATGCCACTGGCATGCAAATCTACATCCCGCGTGATCTGTGAGTGTGTTCATATCACTGGATGATTCGGGACACAGATCCTTCCCTATTCTGACTTGGTTACGCCGAGTAGAGCTCCCCTGGCTTGTGTAGCTTTAGCTATCACGTGACTCGATCTAAGTTGCTGGCATTGCAGTGATCAGGTCAAGCTGTGAGTCGTCGTGGTGAACACTGACTTGGCATGCCCGACAAGAATGCAGTGCTGAAACTAAATTAATTCATGCACGAAGAAGGGAAACTAAATTATTTCCCTGTCTCAGACTCAGAGTGGTACCATGGTTACACGATCGCGCGAGCGATCATCGGACATAACAGCACGTACGTGTACAGTGAAACCTGTCTAAGGCGACCGCTCACGGGACCTTCAAAATGTGGTCTCTGTTACCAGGTGGTCTCGTTATCCAGGGTCATTTGACTGGAAATCGTTTAATCGTATCCCTTGGTGCTGGTTGTAGTGGTCTTCTAGGACAGGTGGTCGCCTTATCAGAGTGGTCTCCATGAGACCATGACAGGTTTTACTCGTTATCCAGGGTCATTTGACTGGAAATCGTATCCCCTGGTGCTGGTTGTAGTGGTCTTCTAGGACAGGTGGTCGCCTTATCAGAGTGGTCTCCATGACAGGTTTTACTGTAGTATAATAGTGCTGAATCTTACGAGTACAAAATGGTCACAACACTCAACAGCCTCTTTTACGGGCGAAAGCAACACAATGAAATGAGAGGAGAAACCAGGGTATGAAGGATAGGAAGAAAATAACATACATGTACATGTGTGGAAAATATGTGCTGAATCCGAGGCTACTGCCCGCGGCCTGTTTCTACGCAATATGGCATGCGGTCTATTTCTTTCCTGGCGGCAGACAGATGGAATGCTCTTCCCACTGACTGCCGTCAGGCCCCGTCTCTTACTCTGTATGTAAACATGGTAAAAATTCACCTAGGGTTCCCAGTAAAAAGGCAACGCCTGTTGGGACTCCCCTAGTTAAAATTTAATAATAAAATCTACTACTACTCTACTACTACAGACTGTACTACTATTACAGTGCTGGCAACTGAAATCCGACCCCCTGGGCGGTGCGTTCACGTTCTAGCGGCCTCTATTTCGTAGTGTTACGATGTGAGCGCACCGCTCAGGGGTCGGATTTCAGTTGCCAGCACATGTAGTACGGTATGTACACCGTACATAATCTATACTACAGTGCTGGCAACTGAAATCCGACCCCCTGAGCGGTGGATTCACATTCTAGCGGTCTCTGGTTCGTAGTTTTACCATCCCGTGTTGGGTCTTTGCGATGTGAGCGCACCGCTCGGGGGGGGGGGGGGGGGGGTCGGATTTCAGTTGCCAGCACTGTACAATTATCCTCGGGCTCCATTCTATCTCCCTTTCGCGCCTGTTTTTTCTCCCCTCCCCACTCTCTTTCTGCCCTCTCCTCTTCTACATTGTAAGTCGTCTCCTTGTGAGAAGGCACCATTGCCTGTTTGGCTGCACGACTATAAATAAAAGCACAACAACAACACATGTGCATGTAGTTACACAGCAAAGTGAGGACGTATTATTCGGTTTCAACTACCGTATTATCTCTAATATAAGCACAGTCTCCAATAATAGCACGTCTCCAATAATAGAACACCTTGGGGCAGCATTCAAAAAATAAAGTGCTCAGTCTCCATTATAAGCACACTGTGTAAATCTATTATCTGTACCGGCGAAAAAACCCCTGAAATGTGTGTCATACATGACTTTGGCATGGCAACATGCCTCTGAAATGAGGTTGAAATAATAATGGAACAGTCTACAATAAAGGAACGTCTCCATTAATAGCACGGGGCGGAGGTACATTGAAAAAATAAAGGACCGTGCTTATATTAGAGATAATACGGTATTATATGTGAAAAGAATTCGGGTGGACACACCCATTCCCATAGCGCTGCACATCACATCCGAACCAGTTCCGTTATTTTTACAACGTTTCGGCACTTGGCCATCGTCAGGTAATAGCAATGAATACCGTGGAAGCCACACAAGAGCAGTATATACGCAGCGTGTAGCGCCAAAAAAGATGCGAATTATGTCACCTAGTGTGCAGAAGGGGGGGGGACAGAGAGAGAGAAAAGGCGCAACTAGCACATCACGGAGGAGAAGCAACAGAAGGTAGCGCGCATTGTGCTCTGTGAATGGCGTTACGCAGAGTGTAGCGCCAAAAAATAAAAATGATGCGAGTTATGTCACCTCTATACGGAGGGGGGGGGGAGAGAGAAGGTGCAGCTGTGCACATCACGGAGAAGAAGAGCGCGCCGTTGAGCTCTACGAAGTGAGGGCACATGCCAAATAATTATGGTGTTAATTCTAGCACAGGAGGGGAGCACGGAGCCCCATGTGTCAATGCACTATGAGGTTAAACTTCCATGCCAAACTGTTACCACCAGGGACGCGACGAGGCATCAGGAACAGAATGGATTTGAGTGACCCGCCTCATATTATAATTATTCAGTGATATTGAAGTAGCAGCAGGGGAAGGTGAGAAAAATTCACAACAAATCCCATCCGGTGCTTATGTTCACATGGGGCTTGGCATCACGAATCTCAATCGCCTCGCGCAGTTTGCGACGGGCTCGATCAGGCTCTCTTCCTATCACTTCAACTGCAGAGAATGCACTTTGCCCATAGTTAAGCTTACATCCAGGGTGAGTGGTACGAAAATGTTGGCCCCATGGCTTGTCGAGTTCCTTTCGTCTTGCCTCACCATTGTGTTCTTCCAGGCGAGTTTCCAGAAAGCGGCCAGTCTCACCAACATATTGTTCCGGACATTCTTTGCACTTCAGCTGATATACAACATTCTTCTGCATACATACATCCTGTCCCCCGGATATACACGAGATACACGGCCCCTTTGGGCGACCTCTCTTTTTCGGTTGTAGCGGATTTGCAGCCTTGACACATAGAGGAGGAACGAGGGCGGAGCGACACAATGTGCGCCTCAGGCTACCAGTGTGCTCATATACGACTCTAACCGGAATTTTATACTTTCTGATTGCTTTATTCACTGCTTGATGTACTTTATCTGACTTATATGGAAGCTTTAGAAATGCGCAGCATGGGTTGGCATGGCGACGACGCTTTGGCCTTATGGAGGCAGTGCGTGCCTCTTCAATGATTCTCTCTGGGTAATTGTTCAATCTTAATTGTTCCTGAACCCTCGCTTCACTTTCTGCACGCATTCTGGTATTCGATGAGAGCCTCTGAGCTCTTAGGAATTGTGACGAAGCAACTGCCAATTTGATATGGTGGGGAACTGCCGAAGTATAATCAATGAGTAGACCACTAGCACATGCCTTCTGGTACAGCTTGTATGCCAGCTTGCCTTCCTGGATCATAATTGTGATATCCATATAATTTATGGAGCCACTCACCTCGCTGCTGGGGCCAACATTTTCGTACCACTCACCCTGGATGTAAGCTTAACTATGAGCAAAGTGCATTCTCTGCAGTTGAAGTGATAGGAAGAGAGCTTGATCGAGCCCGTCGCAAACTGCGCGAGGCGATTGAGATTCGTGATGCCAAGCCCCATTTGAACATAAGCACCGGATGGGATTTGTTGTGAATTTTTCTCACCTTCCCCTGCTGCTACTTCAATATCACTGAATAATTATAATATGAGGCGGATCACTCAAATCCATTCTGTTCCTGATGCCTCGTCGCGTCCCTGGTGGTAACAGTTTGGCATGGAAGTTTAACCTCATAGTGCATTGACACATGGGGCTCCGTGCTCCCCTCCTGTGCTAGAATTAACACCATAATTATTTGGCATGTGCCCTCACTTCGTAGAGCACAACGGCGCGCTCTTCTTCTCCGTGATGTGCACAGCTGCACCTTCTCTCTCCCCCCCCCCCCTCTGTATAGAGGTGACATAACTCGCATCATTTTTATTTTTTGGCGCTACACTCTGCGTAACGCCATTCACAGAGCACAATGCGCGCTACCTTCTGTTGCTTCTCCTCCGTGATGTGCTAGTTAGTAGTTGCGCCTTTTCTCTCTCTCTGTCCCCCCCCCCCCTTCTGCACACTAGGTGACATAATTCGCATCTTTTTTGGCGCTACACGCTGCGTATATACTGCTCTTGTGTGGCTTCCACGGTATTCATTGCTATTACCTGACGATGGCCAAGTGCCGAAACGTTGTAAAAATAACGGAACTGGTTCGGATGTGATGTGCAGCGCTATGGGAATGGGTGTGTCCACCCGCATTCTTTTCACAGATGAAGCTGCAGGAAGCCTCAGCCCTTCTTCAACTATTGTATGTACATGTATAGGAGTTTCGCAAGTGGCATGATCACCAGGGGGGGGGGGGGCTCAACTCTGAGTTGCAAACCTGCAGCGGAGCCCCCCCCCCTTTCCGCCTTGCGTTATGCCAGGGAGTACAATACCCGCATACCGGTATTGTACTACTCCCTGCTTTGTGCCAGCGGTCACGAGTCGATCACAACTGAACACCACGAACTGCCCATGGCTACAACCCCACGCACCCGCCATAACTACCACATCACACCGGCATAGCAGTCTGCAGTGAGTCAAGTATTCGAATCCAAGTTAGTTAGTGATTAGCCTAATAGGGATCGCGGATCCCGGGGGCGGGGGATCAATACCGAAAGAGCTGTATTTATTTTTTATTTTTATTTCACTTCGCACATTCAAACGGGATGACGACCCAATAAAATTATACATGTAGGTGCATTAATTTTGATTTTCAGGACGCTGACATCCGGAGATGATTGTGTTCCACATTCTGTTGGCCAGCGTGGGGCCAGCGTACATGACATGCTAGGCTAGGGCTGAACAGTGAATACTGGACCCCATGCAGAGTTGTGAGCCGAGATCCAGTCACAGACGACGATGTGCCGAAGGCTAACACCGTAATGAGCCACGAGCTAGCAAGGCAACAACAACTCACTGTGACGTAGGCCAGCCCAACACCAAGCACCCGAAATGTCTAGCATGCGAAACGCGACCGGAGGGTTTCGGATTAGCGAGCGGAGGGCTTCGAACGAATGCACAAAATAGCTCCCAGTCCTCAGCCGGAGAAACGACCACGCCAGGGGATTGAGTGCAATAGTACACCTTTCCCTTTTTTGTCACACGTTTTCACTGCCGGTGGGTCGCAGTTGCCCCACGTGTCGTAACAAGCGCTTGCAAATGCTCCACGGGGTGTAACGACAAGGTACTATACACAGTATGCAGCCAGGATTGCCTCGATCATTAGAGGTATTTGCGATATTTGGGGGAGTTACAATGTAGTCGCCCTCAGGCAGTTGAGATCTCACTGAACTCCATTCTTCCCTCACCTTCGAGCACTGCACCAGCCCTACTCTTGCAATCACACGTACACGTGCTTTATAATAATAATAATAAGGGGTCGTCCGTAATTTTCGAAAAATTAAAAAATCCGTCCTCGTGCAAAATTGTCTCTGACCCACCCACCCACCCCCCAATTTTTCCCATTAATTTTTTGATTTTTACCGATGCCCAGCTCGAAAATAAGAACTCCTGACCCCACGTTTTCTGACTGCACCTGTGTCAAGTACTAGCAGCTAAGTACAGTGAGTAGTAGGTCTTCCGACGTCACGGCCATGCACCGTCCCACAACTACATGAAAAGTCATGTATCATAGTAGATACTGGTGTTTGCGACAATCGATCCTACACTACGTCTACAGTACAGTACACAGTCAGCTATATACTGAATCAGTGCAACAAGTGTATCAAAGTCACTGGAGCAAAAAAAAAAAAAAAAAAAAAAAAAAGTACGAAAAATCAAAAAATTAAATTCCGCCAGCACACTTGACCACCCACCCCCTTTTTGCCTGAGGACGGATTTTTTAATTTTTCGAAAAATACGGACGACCCCTAATAATAATAATAGGGGTGAAAGTTGGCACTGAGATCCCGAGTTCGAGTACTCTGATTTTCTCCGATCGAATATTCGAGTATTTTTCATCTCCTAAAAATTGCACACCAAGGGCTTTAAAATAACATGATACAACCCTGATTGAACCGAGTAGCAGTCATTTTTCTCGGGTATATCGGTTGGTGGGTCATTTGGGCTCTCTCTACTCATGAACAAATGTTCACCACACAGCCTGCACATCACCATCTGCCGACTGCTGCCCTGAAACTGCAGATTTCTGTAGTAAATGCATGTACCATGTATGAACGAGTACTCTAATTTATTCCGAGTACGATTATTTTTGAAAAAACCGAGCGAGTACTCGAGTACTCGGTATAATTGTTTCACCCCTAAATAATAATAATAATAATAATAGCACATTTTGCGTAGTACTAGTAGAGCACTAAATAAAGAAATTCAGTGTCCTTTCCGCTTCTGTCTTGTGAGCATCATCAGCTAGGTGTAGTAGCTGCTGATACCGATTTCTCCCCGGGTGTCTTTATAGCGATATTTTAGTTAGTTTCAACCGAAGTAGCTTGCTTTTCCACTCGCTCCATTGGTGATCTGCACCAGGGAGTAGTACAATACGGGTATTGTACTACTCCCTGATCTGCACTCGTTGCTGCGACCTTCAATCCATCTTAACCCCCCCCCCCCCCCCCAGTTCCCTCTTTTCCATACTAGTAGTTATGTAGAAAGTAATCTCTTCGATACTTCCCCGATCACTCGTTGTAACAGTTCCACGAGTACAGGTGACAGCTAGGCATTGGCGGATAATGCTCGAAAAGGTGGCAGATTCTCCTCGAAAAGGTGGCAGATTCTGCTCGAAAAGGTGGCAGATTCTGCTCGAAAAGGTGGCAGACTCTGCTCGAAAAGCAGTGAAATTGGCAGAACCATACAAACCTTATGGCGGGCAAGTCCTCGAGTTCTGCTCCATGTCTTTATCCACATGCCAAACATGCATGAAACTTACTAGTACCAGAAAAGTACCGAATTCTGCCAATTTTTCTGCCTGCATTATCCGCAAAGGCCGAGTGACAGTTATTAGTCTGCTTTGTCTTGCACGTGTTACTGTCAGATAAGGTGTTTCAACGTTTCTTACTCGACGTCTTCGAGCCTATAATTGGCTTGCCGGAAAATCGCAGTAAACACTGTTTCGGAAATCACCCTATCATCGGATGTTGAGAAGTCTGGTCATAATGTTACACCCCCCCCCCCCCACACACAAAACTCTTCATACATGTGGATGTATACTGAAAGCTCATAAAAATAAAAATAAAAAGGTAATGATGTTGTGGACCAAAGCCTCTCATTCCAGTTCACACCGCAGTGACCTAGGGGTGGCCTATTCCGCGATAGCGCTAGAAAGGTGTTGCCTCTCTCCGCCTCGATGTGTGCACGCACAGCACACTCGTGCACCACGTGGTGACACTCATCTTCCTAGACCTGCCCTACAGCGAACTTAACCTACCGGTGGGTCGGAATAGAAAAAGATTGATTCGGTGACTGCGTTCATTTTGTCACAATACAGCAACAACCCAGGCAATTGCTCGCGACATTACAAGTGTGGTGCTTCGCAAAGCTAGTTCCTGAAGTGAGGGACATGCTGGTATAGCACAAGTAGGTCGATCCCGTGCTCATGAGAACGCTGCTCTCGGTATGCCGAATACTGCCACTGCTCAGCAAACAGAGGTGAAAGAAGCCCTACCCGGCAACGTCTTGAATAAATGAGACGTGCAAAGAACAAAGAAGGACAGTTGCTTTGCTCCGGAAAAGACTAATTTTCTTAGCCTAGTGTTTGCGTTCTCTGGCACCGCTACAAGATGGCTACGTCTAGGCAATGGCTTCTCCTGTCCATGCTCGTCTTGGCCTCCTTCCTGGCACCAACAGAGGGCCGTGGCGTGCGCAAAGCTGAACACGCTAAGGAAATCCTGAGCCGTGGCAGTCAAGGCCTGATGGGTAGAGTATCGAAACGAAGTGCACAAGAAAACCGTGTGCTCTATCCGGACGGAGCCAAGGTGCTGGATATGGAAAACATAATAGACCTTGCAGTCGTCGCCGCTCCCGACAATGCCGCCGCCGCCGCCGCCGTCCACTCTGCTGTGAATGTGCCTTTCCATGCCGTGACGTCCCAGGAGGCCCAAATCTTCCTGAATGCACACAACACAGCCCGGCGTGACGTTCAGCCACCGCCCTGCAAGCCTCTGCCGGAGATGAGCTGGGATAGCACGCTGGCCCGCGTGGCACAGGACTATGCCGACAAGTGCCGCTGGGCTCACAATCCAGATCCGGCTAGCGATGCCGGCGGCGAGTTCTCCTCTGTGGGCGAAAACTTGTTCATATCGACGAGTATCAAGCCAGATTTTGAAAGCGCTGTAAAAGCCTGGGTGTCCGAAAAGGTGGACTATGACTACGACACGAACTCATGCAGACCTGGCAAGGTGTGTGGTCATTATACCCAAGTCGTATGGGACAGCTCGGTCAAGGTAGGCTGCGGTGCGGCGGCGTGCGATGCCCAGGACACCTACCAGTTCCCGTTCGACTCGGCCGTGTTCTCCAAAGCTCTCATCGTCGTTTGCAACTACGCCCCGGCCGGCAATTTCATCAACCAGCGGCCGTACGAAGCGACCTGTCCTACCGTACCGCCCATGGCCGCAGCGACCGGCACTGCATTCAACGGCGCTCAGATCGCCGACATGCTTGCCGCGCACAACGAAATCCGCTTGCAGGTCTCGCCCAAGGCATGCCCAGCGCTCGCTCCCATGGTCTGGGACGCCACGCTGGCCACCGTCGCGCAGAACTTTGCGGACACGTGCCGTTTTCAGGGCAATCCGAACCGCGTGGCACAGACCAATGGCAAATATGTGTCGGTTGGCGAAAATCAACTGTTCATCATCGGCTCGTCGCCAGTGTATGGATGGGTGGCTCGTCACTGGGCGCAAGAAGCAGCTTACTACGATTACTCCACTGATACATGCAGTGCCGGAAGGAGTTGCAGCCGCTACGAGCAGATCGTCTGGTCGGCAAGCACCAAGGTGGGATGCGGCATCAAGGAGTGTACGCCGTCTAACTCGCCTTCGTACCCGTTCCCGCCCACCGACTATCCAGCCGTCAAAGTGATCGTCTGCAACTACGCTCCATCTGCGTCGCCGGGGATCAAGCCCTACACGGCTTGCTAGATACTTCATTCTGTGCAATGTCCTACTTGCAACACTGCTCACAAGCCATGCATGGCAATTTCGCGTGCGTTCTAGCAAGCTGTGCGTTTTTACCGGTGCTTTAATTAGTTCCACTCGAAGTACAGGATCAAGGCGCAGCTTGCTAAACCTTTGCTTTTTTTCACTTACTCCATGGCTGACCTCCTGTAAGCATAGCCAGTTCGAAAGTCTGCCCACCTCCTTTCTTCTCCTTCCTCTTTCTCATGTTCTGTTACATCAAGAGTAAAATCAGCCTTATTTACACTTGGTCACGTGACTGTAGCTCCACTACTAGTATACTGTAGTTGGTTTTACAAAAGTCGAGAAAGGAAGCTTGTGCAGGTCTACCCTCGTTAGTACGACATTGGTTACAAGACAACCCTCAATAATACATGTAGTAGACAACGATCCAAACTCCCCCTGATGCCTGAAACGCATACTATGCATGCACGTACGGATTATGTAATACCAAGAGTACATAATTATGTACATAATTATGTACTCTTGGTAATACTCGTAATAATAAGACAACAAATAATATCGACCCCCCCCCCCCCCCCGCCCGGGTTGTCTACTAACCAGGGAGTCGTAAAATACTGGTATTTTACGACTCCTGCTACTAACATAGGTGCCATCATTTTTCTTTGTTTCAATAAAATTACTTGTCAAAAAAAACAAAACACAATGGTAAACCTAGAGTAGTGGTTCCACAGTTGTTCTTGTAGCTTGTAATCAGGTGTGACCTTACAATGTACATCCTTAAAGTGTCATTACGCACTGTGCAGTATCACCAAGAGTACATAAACCGGTGTATGTACTCTTGGTATCACCTAATGAAATGTAGTGTAGACATCTGCACACCTCCCGTGCCTCTCTACCTGCTGGGACGAGGTGCCATGCGCCATGGAACAGAATATAGACGTTAATATGCCAAAATAAAGAAATGGAGCAGAATTCAAGGAAGTGCCTGCCTTAATTAAGGTTTGTATTGTTCTGACATGGCAATAAATAAGATAAATTGTGCACTCATAACAACAGCAAAAATGAAGAAAGTCAAGTTCCATAACGTTTTAGTTATGTATTACATTTTTATGTGACGGCGTTCCACTGATGACAGTCACAAGAAAACGTTATGGAACTTGACGTTTTAGTTATAACATATTTATGTGACGGCATTCCACTGATGACAGTCACAAGAAAACGTTATGGAACTTGACTTTCTTCATTTTTGTTGTTATGAGTGCACAATTTATCTTATTTATTGCAATTTTACGACTATTATCTCCTCGTCGATTGTTCTGACAGATCACAATTTCATTGCTTTTCGACCAGAATCTGCCAATTTTAGAGCATTACCCGCCAAGCGCTACTCAGTAGGCATTGGCAGATAATGCTCGAAACTGTGGCAGATTCTGCTCGAAAAGCAGTGAAAACGGCAGAACCATACAAACCTTATGGCGGGCAATTCCTCGAATTCTGCTCCATTTCTTTAACCACATACCCAACATGCATGAAACTTACCAGAAAAAGTACCGAATTCTGCCAATTTTTCTGCCGGCATTATCCGCATATGCCTACTACTCAGCACCCGCATCACCTTTACATCTACAGTAAACCGGTCAAGGCGACCAGACCACTCGGATAAGGCGAACACCTGTCCTCGAAGACCGCTGGAACCACGACCAAGGGATGCTATTTCCAGTCAACTGGCCTTGGATAAGGAGACCACCTGGTAACAGAGACCATATTTTGAAGGTCCCTTGAGCGGTCGTCCTAGACAGGTTTCTCTGTACATGTATGTCATCACCACTACAACTCTCTAGTATACGCCTGTATCATGCCCTCCACTCACTCAGTCATCCATTCTGTATCCCCTGACGACCTTGTTCAGACCAAGAACCGTTTGGGAAAGTATTGTAGACAATCTTTACCTCTATAAAACTCGGATGTTGTGCCAATAGTATTATCAATTTATTATGTAAAGAGTAAGGACCTATACGTTGCGAGTTATGACTATTACAGTCCACCAAGGTAACCAGATAATTAGTTACAGAGAGGTTCCAGGCTGTCCAATACAGTGCTTAATACCGAAAGCCAGAGCTACATGTACAATAGTCATGTAGTTCAAACAATAATAAGAGGATGAAAAAGTGTTTTAACTCCAAGTTTCACGCACTAAGTGATCACTAGAAACCAGTAATGAGTAACTCTGAATACTGGTTTATACACCCACAAAGCAAGAGTGTAAATGACAGCAGTTGTGAAAGATTGCATCACGGCATGACTTTGAAAGGTGTGAATAACAGCACGGTGGCGAAAGATACTACTTCAAGTGGACACGCACTGGAGCTGGTTGTCTGCTACCTGATTAGGTGATGTCCGTGGATGGTTTGAAGTTCGAAGGTAGTACTTATTCCCGTGGCGACACTTTGACACACGTTCACTCCTCTTGTTGAGAGAGAGAGGTGCTTGGGTGTTTGCGCGATTGCCAATTTTTCTGTCAGGCATAAGTTGCACCTTTTGCTTTTGTTGCTGTAGGCCACTGCTTTGCGGTGGACTGCCCATTGAATCCTGCATGCCTTCCCTTCATCCTTCTTGGCCCAGACGTGCTGCGATAGGCGGGTGTCCTTCTCGTACTAGTATTGTCTGTGGCGGAATGATGATCGGTGGTTATAACGTTAGTAGCATTGTTTTTAATGTTGTTGCTGTTAATCCAGTATATTCCTTCTTATCTGTACCTGTGGTGACTCTTGCCTTATACGAGTACACAATGCTCTCCGGTAGACACGCCCTGTCCAGTGAACATAATTCTTTCTTCCGACAGTTACATGTCCTGGTGTCGTTGTCACCTCCGTTGGCTTGTTTCTTGGGTCGTCGGATCGTGGTATTGTGTTGCTTGTGTTGCTCGTTATTATGTCAACGAGATAATTATACAGTCAGATAGTGCGACAACAAGGCACTGTCAGTCATAACTCGTGCCGTATACAGAGAAACCTGTCTAAGCCGACCGCTCAAGGGACCAGGACGACCTTCAAAATGTGGTCTCTGTTATCAGGTGGTCTCCTTATCCAAGGTGAGTTGACTGGAAATGGCATCCCTTGGTCGCGGTTCCAGTGGTCTTCTAGGACAGGTGGTCGCCTTATCCGAGTGCTTGCCTTGATAGATTTTACTGCAGGTCCTTACTCTTTACTCGACACCTTTGTTGTTCGTTAGATTTCATTGCGATCGGTTCGGCCAGTAACTCTGAGGTCCGCTGAGGACTCGGCCCTGACAAGGTCGAAACAGCTACAGTAATATTATTATAGTTGGCCGGAAATGGAGTATCATGTACTCTTGGTTACTGCTAACATCCGTAATAACCTGCAGCCCAAACTTCCTCATGATTAGCGTTAGTATTGGCTAACTAGCGGTGAACCCCCTTCCGAAAATTCCAATGAGACAGGCCTTTGGGAAATTCTCCATCTTTGTACCAAAAAACAAGCTTCTAAAATGGCAGTACCGCTAACTAGAAATTTAATGGTGCACCCACACCCTGTGCTAACACCCCGCTATTCTGGCTGAGGGGCGTGTGTATCAACCGTTATTCAATACAAGGCAGTTCACACAATGATACAATCCATAGGGCATATGCTCCGTCTTCAATAATGGGAGTGTGATTAACCATTCCAAACGGACAGCCTATTTTTGAACCGACGATTTCCCAGTTCCCTATTCCGCTGCAAAACATCAACACTGCTTACAGTCGAGCCGATGATTACCGGACTCGCTTGATTATAGAGCCCTGTCTCGAATAGCGCCCCTGTCTCTGCGTTGGTCTACATGTACGGTATGTCATTGCACTGGTGCATTCAGGATGAAAAGAGCATAGAGAAAAATTGCTCTCTCTCTCTCTCTGGCTCGGAATAGTGCCATCTTCCAAAACGTTCCTCCTTGTTTATGTCTGATACATGTAGTACATGACGTACGAGCACTGATGATTGAGAATATCTTGAGCACAAATTAGCATCTTTGCTTTGAGCGAAACTATTATTACTACTTGTGACAGCTACTTTACTAACAAGTAAGGGTGTCCACATCATATCATGCGAATTATTTTGTCCAAAATTGAAATTCAAAAAGCGAAAAAAACGGTCAAAATGTTTTAAGAAAATTCAAAAAATCCCCCAAAATGCAGAAAAAATTCGATCCGTTGCCATGGTTTTTACAGTACTCGTACCTAAAAAAATAAAAATAAAAAAATCCACAAACTGTTTATCATGTGTGTCTGTGTGCTTCCAAATTCGGGGATGGGTGTCAAAAGGTTAAAGGTCAAAGGTAAAAAGGCCCTAGGCCTAGCCTGTGGGACTGCCCTATTCAAAATTTAATAAAATAATATTAAAGGTGTGTGTATTTGAAAGTACTGTTTTCACATGTCCAACTTGGTAATATATTTTATCAAGAGTGTTTATGGACTCTTGATTTTATGTGTTGATTCTTCACAAAATGTGTTATTTTGCCCGTACAAGATAAGAGGCTCAGGGCATGTTCGATTGGTAAGGATCGGGATCGGGATCCAGATCTCAGATTCCTCGGATCCTTCAGATTCAACTGAACACTTTATCTTGGACCTTGACTGTTGCCATGTTGAAAATGGCGCTCACAAGGCACCCAGAAGGGTGAACGTCGTACTCATCGCGTGCGTCGTACAAAAAGTCAACAAGCTCTATCTCCATCCACGTGTGCGTACCACAATGTGTACAAAAATGATTTTTACCCGCCATATACGCACAAAGGTCACATTTGGATCTGTGATAACTCGCTCGGACAGCGTTCCGGTTAGTCTCGTCTGGCTGGATCGCTAACCTCGGAACGTTTGTGACAAGTATAGTCACGGCTGGTACGGAACGCAACTTCACCCAATCCTAATCCCAACACACACACACCAACTGATCTCGTCAGAGCAGAGAATATGTTCAGTGTTTGGAAGAAGAGCACCGAAAGAACCCCTCGCTAAAAGCAACAGCATGCTATGATATAACACATTGTAGAAAACAGCAAGCAGGGGCAGTAGCGATAGTACTTGCTAAACATGCAGCTAAACTGCTACTTTGTCCTCTGCGCGGAACGGCGATCGGACACGCACACGCATACACATACACGCACAGGTCTGCGTGATCTAGAAGCGGCGGTCATCATGATAACATAAATATGCAAAGTGTGAAAGAGTATTAGAAAGGGGCGAGACTAGACCCGGCGTCTGGACTGCAATAACCTGATTAAAAG